TTATGCCTTCATTATTTCCTTTTTAATAGCACCAATCTGTCTAAATTTGGAGCAACAGCCACATAATTACCTTTCTCAAACATCAACTGATTATAATTTCTGTTCCAAAAGTTATTATGAGGGTCGAGAGGAAAAAGCAGCTGGAGCTTTTTCTCTGTAATATGGGAGAAGAATTTAATTTCTTTATGCTGAAATGAATGCATTCCTCTGGTCTTGGTCCTCCAGCAGGCTCAGCACCAACACAGCACAGAGGTTCACACACCCCTTCTGAGCTATCATTTGCTGCAGCTCCTCCAGTCCACCTATGAGAGCAAGGTCCCACACACTGCTGACACTTGCAGTCTTGTCTTTACAGACGGTCATTTGGCTTCCACACCACTTTTACCAAGGAGTATCAACCTGGAGTGTCAACCTTAGCAGAATGCCCAGTGTCTCTGTCTGAGGAAAGGGGTGACAGTGCTGAGGGCCATTCCTCAAGTCTGAAAATGAGTGGTATTTGTTGTAAGATAGAACTATGAGGCATCATGGGAAATAGGCACTTCCTATACATGGGAAGTGGGGGAGTATATGACTTTGAAGGGGATACTCCAGGACCCCTCCCCAGTCATAGTTACTCCAGCTGGACTCTGTTAATTGAATTTCCAATGATTAAATAGTGGAACATTCTTTACTGAGTATAGCCATGGAGAGAATATAATAATTCCTATCACATTAAAAGCAAATCTGATATTATACACTATATTAAGTAATAAAAGGCAAAAATACAGTTTCCACACATTGAACTTTCAAACCCTTCTTTGTGTCCAATACATTAGCTTTTGTTCAGGTCTCTGAAATGCCACGATCAGAACACCAGTCCCACAGAATGAGTTATTACATACCTGTTTTTAACTTGAGCCCAAAATTATTTTGTCAAATTTACTACACCTGTCAGTTAACAAAATCACTATATGAAGGATGTTCCTTGGAAAGTGCAGGGCATCTCATCCACATTCTCCAAGACTATAAAGACAACACTAACACCTAATGTGGAAAGACCTAAGTCATCTTTTGAGTGGAACCAGCTGCCTAAACTGGGGAAATATCCATCTCCAACAATGATTGGTACCAACTATCACCTCAGAAAAATGAACAGCTGGGAGGGGATGGGTTTGTAACTACTTATTTCTAAGGCAACAAGCATCTCTTCTAGAAAGGAACATGAATTTGAAGGCTAAATTTCATTCCCTCCATAAAGAAGCCAGGAGAAAAGTATAATTGTTCATGCAAGCCCCTGGGAAAAGACTGTTGACAAGATTTGTCAATGCAACCACTTCCCACAACAGATTCAAAGAATCAGTTGGGTATGGAAACTATGCTCACTCTGAGTTCAGACAAATTTCTCAGCATGTGTTTGATAAACCCTCCTGGCTCTTATTACACTAAGTTCAACCCCTAAATTCCTGCAGTCCTTTTCAGATGCTATCATGATGACAGCTCAGAAACAAGAGGAAGTTTCATGTTGCTGCCTATAAACCCTGTGAAAGTACACTGTGCAGGCACCTGGCCCACCAGGCTCGTCAGAAGGATGATCTCATCAGAATTGTAGTATGGCAAGTAACATGGTCTGATCTGTCAGAGCCATACTCTCTACTGACCACGGAGTAGGGCCAAGTCAAATAGGGAGAAACACCAGTGTGAAAGGATAAAAACCCACCCCACCTTATTAATAATTTTATAGTAGTTTCATGAAAACAGTGAGATTTGGGATTCAGAGAGTTAAATAAACACTGTTATGATCAATTTCACTTGTTTCTTTTTACTTTTTATGATATGGATACTAAAATATTTTTGATTATTTACATAGCTTTAATCCTATCCTATCAGAATTCAAACCATCAAGAGATGGTTTATTTGAACACCTGCTAAACCATTAGGCTTTTGTAAATGTTTTTGAAACATGTAGGCCGACATTTCAAAAGAGGAAAAAAAAATCTCCCATTCAGTCTGTCTCCATGGCCACACATGTTTAGCTCTACAAACATCTGGGCTGATTCTAGTATTTAATCCAAGGAGAAGGGTCCCCAGATGGCCCAGAGAGGAGTGTCTGAACAAAAAAAAAAGGTTCAAGCACACTGGGATCATGGTCCACTGTGTGTGTTTTCCCTACAGATCCTTACATTGTATGGAAATGTGCAAATGAAGAACTCAACGAGAAAACAAAACAAAACAAAACAAAAAACAGATACTCAGGGGCCACTTAACCAAACACACTTGGGAAAACCCTTGGTTTTCATACTGATTAGAAATCGTAGGTTTGGGCCTGAGCTCCGGGCCCCTGCCAGAGATCCACCTATCCCCAAGGGACCATCCTGAGTCCCTGCCTGCCAGATCTTTGACCCCCATCGCCAGGCATCTGCTGGAGCTCTGAACCTCTGCCAGAGACCCTCCTATCCACTCAGAACTACCCTGAGTCTTCACATGCTTGATCTTTGACCCCCATCACCAGGACTCTACTGGAGGTGACTCTGGGACTAGTTCAGGTTGAATCCCCACCCCCACCCCCTTCCCTGGGAACTCCCTGGATTGGCCCCAATCTTGCTCTCTGCTGTGTCCTGTCCCCAACGAGAGTGCTCTTGGTGCTCTGATACACACTCCCCACCCAGAGCCTGTCCTCCCCCCCACCCTGTGCCCTACCTAGCCCACTACCCCACTGCTCTGGTTCAGCACTGCTACAGAGGGTGGATCCAACAATCCCGCCAAATTTGGAGAACTTCCTGGAGCTGCTTTGAGCACACTAGACCTACCTGATCCACTCAGGACCACTCTGAATCTCTGCCTGCCTGATCTCTGACCCCCAACACTGGGCCTCTGCCAGAGGGAACTTCCTAGATCTGCTCTCAGCACACTAGACCTGCCTATCCACACAGGACCATCCTCAGTCCCTCCCTGCCTGCCTGGCCTTTGATCCTACCTCTGGGTCTCTGCTGGAGGACTTTGACCCCCATTGCCTGGCCCCTGCCTGAGGAGACACTTCCTAGAGAGGTTGGACCACCAAGAGCTACAGATTGAACTTCTGACCCACCTAAGCCCACCGGGGGAGTAGCATAGAGAGAGAGAAACTCCACCTGCATCCACCGGAAGAAACAATGGGAAGACAACAATACAAGAAAACACCTACCAATAGAAAGACAAGCATGACACCACCAGAATCTACACCAACTAGACCTGAACACCCCAAAGCAGATGAAGCATAAGAGAACGACTTAAAAAATATCTTCATAAAAATGATAGAGGCCTTCAAAGGACGATGATAGAAAATCCCTTAAACAAATGGAAGAAAAAACAAAAAATTGGAAGAAATAGAGGAAAAGACCATGCGAAAAATGCAAGAAATGAACAAATCTCTTAAAGAAAATAAGGAAAGCCAAGAAAGAACAATCGCACAGGTGAAGGAAACAATTCAAGACTTAAAACCCGAAATAGAGACAATAAAGGAAACACAAAGATGTAACCAACACAATACAAGAGATGTAAGAGAGAATCTCAGGCACTGAAGATAAACTAGAGGAAATAGATTGATCGACCAAAGAAAATCTTAAGTCCAACAAATTCTATACACAAAACATCCAGGAAATGTGGGACACTGTGAAAAGGCCAAACCTAAGAATAATAAGCATAGAAGAAGGCAAAGAAGACCAGCTCAAAGGTGCAGAAAACATATTCAACAAAATCATTGAAGAAAACGTTCCCAATCTGAAGAAGGACATGCTTATGAAAATACAAGAAGTATACTGAATACCAATTAGACTGGATCAATCAAAACACCTAACATACAGAATAAACAAAGAATATGAAGAGCAGCAAAGGAAAAAGGACAGGTAACATATAAAGGCAGACCTATCAAAATTACACCATACTTCTCCATGGAAACTCTCAAGACCTGGATAGATCTCAATCACTATAGAAGGACAAAACAAGGTATTTAATGACAAAGCCAGATTTTCACAATACCTATCTACAAATCCAGCCCTACAGAAAGTCTAGAAGGAAACTCAAAACTCAAACCCAAGGAAGTTAACTACGCTCACAAAGAAATAGGCAGTAGATAATTCCACTTCACCAGAAGAAAAAGGTAAAGCAGGGCAAATATATTCACAATATCACCACCAAAACAAATAAAAAACAAGCATTAACAATCAATGGTCCTTACATTCCCTCAACATTAATGGTCTTAACTTGACTATAAAAAAGACACAGGCTAACAGAATGGATACGAAGACAGAATCCATCCTTCTGCTGCATACAAGAAACACATCTAAGCTTCAAAGACATTACTTCAAGGTAAAGGGTTGGGAAAAGACATTCCAATTAAATGGACCCAAGAAGCAAGCAGGTATGACTATCTTAATATATAACAAGTTAGACTTCAAACCAAAATCAATCAAAAGAGATGAAGACGGTCATTTCATATTCATCACAGTAGAAATCTATCAGCACAAAACCTCAATTCTGATCATCTATGCACCAAATACAAAGGCACCCACATTCATAAAAGAAATGCTACTAAAACTCAAAGCTCACATAAAACCTCACACACTCATAGTGGGAGACTTCAACACCCCACTCTCACTGCTAGACAGGACCACCAGTCAGAACTTAATAAAGAAACAAAAGAACTAACAGAAGTTATGTCCCAATTTGGTTTAACAGACATCTATAGAACATTCCATCCAAACACAAAAGAATATACCTTCTTCTCTGCTCCACGTGGAATCTTCTCTAACATCAACCACATACGAGGCAAAATAACAAACCTCAACAGATAAAAAAAAAAAAAAAAAATTGGAATAGTCCCTGTATCTTATCAGACCACCATGCTTTAAAGTTGGAAGTCAACAACAACACAAATCGCAGAAACCCTACAAACTCATGGAAATTGAGCAATGCACAATTGCACCATGGCTGGGTCAAAGAAGAAACAAAGAAAGAAATAAAAAACTTCCTAAAATTCGATTTTTACTGCTCGGACGCGGAGCGAGAAGCCGAGAGTCGGAGACGCTATCCACTTCCATCCATCGCGCAGAACCTGCCGGAGCCGCTGCCGCTATGGATGATCGGGAGGATCTGGTGTACCAGGCGAAGCTGGCAGAGCAGGCCGAGCGATACGACGAAATGGTGGAATCAATGAAGAAAGTGGCTGGCATGGACGTGGAGCTGACAGTTGAAGAGCGAAACCTTTTATCTGTTGCTTATAAAAATGTGATTGGAGCCAGAAGAGCATCCTGGAGAATAATCAGCAGCATTGAACAGAAGGAAGAAAACAAGGGAGGAGAGGACAAACTAAAGATGATTCGGGAGTACTGGCAAATGGTTGAAACTGAGCTCAAGTCAATCTGTTGTGACATTCTGGATGTACTGGACAAACACCTCATTCCAGCAGCTAACACTGGCGAGTCCAAGGTTTTCTATTATAAAATGAAAGGGGACTACCACAGGTATCTGGCTGAATTTGCTAGAGGAAACGACAGGAAGGAGGCCGCAGAAAACAGCCTCATGGCTTACAAAGCTGCTAGTGACATTGCGATGACAGAACTTCCTCCAACGCACCCCATTCGTTTAGGCCTTGCTCTCAACTTTTCCGTATTCTACTATGAAATTCTTAATTCCCCTGACCGTGCCTGCAGGTTGGCAAAAGCAGCTTTTGATGATGCAATTGCAGAACTGGACACGCTGAGTGAAGAAAGCTATAAGGACTCTACACTTATCATGCAGCTGCTACGTGATAACCTGACGCTCCTCTGGACCTCAGACATGCAGGGCAATGGTGAAGAGCAGAATAAAGAAGCGCTGCAGGATGTGGAAGATGAAAATCAGTGAGACATAATAAAGCCAACAAGAGAACACATCTCTGACCACCCTCCCTCCCCACCCTCCCCCTGGAAGCTCCCCATTGTCACTGAGAACCACCAAATTTGACTTTCACATTTGGTCTCAGAATTTAGGTTCCTGCCCTATTGTTTTTCTTTCTTTTTATTTTTTTTCTCCCCTCCCCCTTTTTTAAAACAAAACAAAAAAAAAAAAAAAAAACCGTTTTCAGAAGTTCTTAAAGGCAAGAGTGAATTTCTGTGGATTTTACTGGTCCCAGCTTTTAGGTTCTTTACAACACTAAGGACTGCATAGAGGTTTTTTTCAGCATTACTTATTGTCTCCAGCCACATGTGGCAAGATCATCATTAGAAATGGAAATGACATTTGAAAGCCATTAGACTTCTAGGTGATGCATCTAAGAAAGATTAATCACATGATAGAGGCATATGTGCTGTCATTTTTCCTTTTTTAATTGTTTAAATTGAATTTAATACCAATGTTTAAACTTAATGGGTGTTAACTTGAGGTGTTTTGGGGGAGTTTGTTGTAATGGTTTTGCTGTAAAATGTGTTTGGAACTCTGCTGAAGTCTTGCTGAAAAGCATGGTGCTGGTAACAGTTCAACAATCCCTGGCTGCTCATTCTTGCCGACTCCTCCCCCCTCTGAAGCAGGTTAGCATTGAAGGTGGTATGGAAGCCTGCTGCGTGTTCCACTCTCTTCCTCCTCCCTTGCTCCTCAGCTTCCTTCCCTCCTCCTTTGCTCGCTCAACCTCTTTTGTTCAGTATGTGTAACTTGAAGCTAATTTGTACTACTGGATATCTGACTGGAGCCACAGATACAGACTCTGTATTGTTCTTACCGAAACACAGCATGGAATTAACATTAAACTTAAATAAAACAAACCTAAATTAAAAATGCCAAATATATTATGCCTCCATCCTTCATACTTCTAAAATCTCTAGTCCAAACATTTGACAGTTAAAAAAAAAAAAAAAAAAAAAAAAAAAAAAACTTCCTAAAATTCAAAGAGAATGAGGACACAACATACCCAAACTTATGAGACACATTGAAAGCAGTGCTATGAGGGAAGTTCATTTTACTAAGTGCCCATATGAGGAAAATGGATAGTCACATTAGAGAATTAACAGCACAACTGAAAGTCTTAGAATGAAAAGAAGCAAACTTGCCCCAGAAGAGTAGACATCAGGAAATAATCAACTTGAGGGCTGAAATCAATAAAGTAGAAACCAGGGAAACAATACCAAAAAACAAAAAAAAAAACAAAAAAAAACCAACCAACCAAACAAACAAACAAAAAAAACAATGCAACAAAGACTTGCTTTTTTGAAAAAAATCAACAAGATAGACAAACCTTTATCCAAACTAACCAAAAATCAGAGAGACAACATGAAAATTAGCAAAATCAGAAATGAAAAGGGGGACATAAATGTCAGACACTGAGGAAATCCAGACAATTTTCAGATTATACTTTGAAAACGTGCACTCCACAAAATTTGAAAATTCAAAGGAAATGGACAAATTTATGGATAACTATCACTTACCAAAATTAAATCAAGAACAGATAAGCAACTTAAATAGACCTATAACCCCTTAGGAAATAGAAGCAGTCAGCAAATACCTCCCAACCAAAAATAGCCCAGGACCAATTGGCTTCAGTGCAGAATTCTACCAGAAATTCAAGGAAGAGCTAATATCAATACTCCTCAAATTGTTCCACACAATAGAAACAGAAGGTTCATTACCAAACTTTTTTTTATGAAGCCACAATTACCTTGGTACCTAAGCCACACAAAAACACAAATAAGAAATAAAACTACAGACCAATATCCCTCATGAATATTAATGCAAAAATACTCAATAAAATACTGGCAAACAAAATCCAAGAACACATCAGAGAAATCATCCACCATGACTGAGTAGGCTTCATCCCTCTGTTGCAGGGATGGTTCAACATATGAAAATCTATCAATGTGATACACCATATAAACAAACTGAAAAAGAAGAAACCATATGATCATCTCCCTAGATGCTGAGAAAGCCTTCAACAAAATTCAACACTCTTTCATGATAAAGGTCTTGGAGAGATCAGGGATAACAGGAACATAATATAACTAAACATAATAAAAGCAATACACAGTAAACCAACAGCCAACTTCAAACTGATTGGAGAGAAGCTTAAGGCAATTCCTCTTAAATCAGAAACAAGACAAGGCTGCCCTCTCTCTCCATATCTCTTCTGTAAGGCAAAGGACACAGTGGAGAAGACCAAATGGCAGCCCACAGACTGGGAAAAGATCTTCACCAATCCTACATCTGACAGAGGGCTGATCTCCAAAATATATAAAGAACTCAAGAAACTAGTCAACAAAACACCAAATAACCCTATTAAAAAATGGGTACAGAACTGAAGAGATAATTCTCAATAGAGGAAATCAAAAAGGCTGAAAGACACTTAAGAAAATGCTCCACATCCTTAGCTATCAGGGAAATGCAAATCAAAACAACTCTGAGATACCATCTTACTCCTGCCAGAATGGCTAAAATTAGAAACACCAGTGACAACTTATGCTGGAGAGGATGTGGAGAAAAGGGAACACTCCTCCACTGCAGGTGGGAGTGCAAACTTGTACAGCCATTTTGGAGATCAGTATGGCAGTTCCTCAGGAAAATGGGAATCAGTCGAACACAGTACCCTACAACAAAGACATCTGTTCAACTATGTTTGTAGCAGCATTATTTGTAATAGCAAGAACCTGGAAGCAATCTAGATGCCCCTCAACTGAATAATGGATAAAGAAGATATGGCACATTTACACAATGGAATACTACTCTGCAGAAAAAAACAATGGAATCTTGAAATTTGCAGGCAAGTAGATGGAACTTGAAGAAACCATCCTGAATGAGGTAACCCAGTCACAAAGAGAGGAACATGGTACGTACTCATTCATGTATGGATTTTAGACATAGATCAAAGAATCACCATCTTATTCACCCCGCCTGAAAAACTAGAATACAAGGAGGATTGTAAGAGAAGGGGAAAATGGACAAGATCTCCTGAGCATATTGGGAGTGGAGGGAGAAAGTGAGTGGAGAGAGAACTAGGAGAAAGAGAAGGGGAGAAGAGGAAAGCATGTGAGACTAGGAAGATTGAGTCAGGGGAGGAATAGATGAGAGGGGAGAGAGAGAGAGATAGAGAGAGAGGTCATAAAAAAGGGAGCCATTATAGGTTTGAAGAAAAAACTTACTCTAGAGAAATGTCCAGACCCCAACTAACAATTTGAGCAATAGTGGAAATGCTACCATAAATGTCCTTCCCTGATAATGAGATTGATGACTAACTTATCCACCATCATAGACAGCCCTCATCTAGTAGCTGATGGACACTCACAACTAAACACTGAGCCAAACTGGAATCCAGATGCAGAGAGAGGACAAGACCAGGCTATAGAAACACACAGAGATAGCTGACCTAAACGAGGAGGAGCTAAAGGGCCCCCAGACTGATAGCTGGGAATCCAGCATGGGACTGAACATGGGTCTTAGTTAGAAGGGCTGGACCTTGGACAGTGGAACCAGGATGTGTCCCTGGTGCACAAAAGGACTTTGGGAGCACATTTTCCATGGAGGGACACTCCCTTAACCTAGGGGCAGGAGGGAAGGCCTAGTCCCTACTCCAAGTAGTCCCTACTTGATAGATTTAGATGACCACTCCTGAAGGCATCACCCTACATGTAGAGTGGGGGGGAGTGGGAGGGGAGGTTGGTCGGAAGGTATGGGAGAGTGGGAGAGAGGGAAAGAGGGAGGGAGGGGAGCAACAGAAAACTGGGATTGATATGTAAAATAAAAATTAAAAATTAAAAAAAAAAAGAAATCATAGGTTTGAGTACAGTCAACCTTTATCAGTATTTCAGGCATGGAAAAATATAACCTTATTTCCCATGTCCTTTCCTCAGTCAGTACCTTGAAGCAAGCAGTTTCTTTATGAATATACACATACATGCAGACACACACACATACACACATACACACATACACACACACACACACACACACACACACAGACACACACACATATTCTCTCAATTGCATTTGTTTTTTAATTTTCATTTACAGTGTGGTAATAGGTAGCATGAAATATTTCTATTTGTCCCCTAGACAGGCTGTGAGGGGGTAACACACACACTCTGAGCAGTCAGAACTAAATGCCAAGCCCAACTTACAAATTAGGTTTCTGCTTTGAGAAAAGAAAATCAGGCACCAATCCCACAAGCAACAATGGAGCCAGTGCCAAAGCTGGAGTCAGCCTGGCTCAGGTCCCAGACCACTGTCCATGGTTGTGACTAACTTCCTCCATCTTCAAAACGAGGGAGATGATATAGTTCCTATATTACAGAGTATTAGAAAGACTATATGAATTAATAAGTTGAATTCTCCTTTGGGGTAAAAACTTTTTAACAGAATTATTTTTAATGAGTGTCAGATTCATAAATAGAATAACTCCAGCAGCCTTCAGGTTAAAAATTAACAAGCCTGGAGTGACACAAAACTTTGAATTTGTTTTGTCCCCAAGGTATGTGTGCTAGAAGCTTGCTTCCCATTGTAACACAATGGGATCATGGACCTTTCCTTGCTATACCCCCATTCCTTCCTTTTGGAGTGAGAATGTTAGTAGTTAACTTTTAAAAATGTGTTTAGTGTTGTGTGTATGGATGCTTTGCCTGCATGTTTTTCTGTGCATCACTTGTGTGCCCAGTACCCCAGCCTGAGGCATCAGCCAGATCTGATCATCAGATAGATCACCTAGGATTATAATTACAGACAATTATGAACTATTTGAGTGTTGGGAATCAAACCTAGTCTCTGGAAGAGCAGCCAGTGCTCTTAACTGTTGAGCCATCTTTCCAGCCTTTAACATATAGGGGGGAGGGGGCTTGCAGGAAGACTATTCTATGTCTCAGAAGATACTTGGAAATTTTGAAGTACTCATACTGTTGAGGACTGTGGAGATTTGTGGGTCTGGAATGTGTGCATTTTTGCATTATGCCCTGAGC